AGTACCAGCAGATCAATTCAATAACTCCTGGTCTGGTTCTTGCCCTAAACCCAGTCTCAAATCAAACAAGGTAAAAGTTAATTTGATTAATATGGCGGTTCAATACGGATTAGTCAAAATCTAATTTTATTTTTAAAAAAAATTCAAACAATATAACTTTAATTATTCTGGATTAACTTGAATCTGCTCATCTAATTTTTAATTTTTAGAGTGTGTTTTTTATTTAAAATATATTAAAATATTTTTTATATTTATTTTTTTATTTTTAATATAGTATATTAAAATTACCATAAAATACTAAAAATAACGTTCATTTAATATAATATTTTTTCTAGATAAATATACTTTTAAAAAATATTTAAAAGTAAAAACTCTCACGCTTTCAAAGGCAATAACCAGCATACAAGTCTACGATGCTTACGTGGGTGGGAATGTGCTTCAGCACGCTCTCCTCCCTGGATAAATAAAAGAAATGCCAGGAATTGCGGGGTAAAGGTTCCATTATGTGATGGATGACAACATCGTGGATTCCAGGTGAAGATTTTTTTTTTAACTTTACTTGAAAATTACTGACATGCCTTGAATTTTATTGGATATAGAAAATTTAAATAAGAAAGAAAGTTAAATTACCATGTACAGGCCACTCAGTGTGAGAAAGAATAAAAATAAGATGTTTGTTATGAAATTCTTAAAAACTATTAAATTAATCAGATTTATTTTTTATTTATTTTAAAATCTTATTGTAACCTTGATTTTTTTCTACTTATGTCCATAAAATTCTAATTCAGTCCATGGTGTAATACTGACCACAAATATAGATTTATTTAAGTTTTTTAATCTAATTTAATTTATTTTTAGCCTTCAGTATCGTATTTGCTAAAATTAGACTTTTTAATTTATTTAAAAATAAATTTTATAATTTTATCATGATATTATATCCGTAAACTAGACTTTTATTATTTTTTCACAGTTATTAACTTTCTTAGAGGAAAACTTTGGCAAGTGGAGCTCTCAATTTCAAACACATTAACAAAGTATACTGACTTTCTTAGCCAAAAAAAAAGTAACTTCCTTTCTTGTCCCCCAGTGATAGCTACTTCAAAAAATAAAAAATCAAAAATATACTGTCTTTGATTCTTGATGCGTTAATGTTCACTTTTAAAAAACAATTATCGTGTCCAGGTATGCATGAAAAAATAAATGGCAAGGAGAAAAAAAAAATCGATCAGTAGAGGGTCCAAGATTTAATAAATAATTGTAGTTTCGTCAAATATTTTCATATTTTACTGTTAAGATGGTTTATAATATATATAATAGATGCAATGCCCGTGGATTTTGCAGGCTTATAGTATATTTATGTGTTATAGTAATTTAAAAAAAAATATATATAAAAAAAACTGTTGTTATTTCTTTTTTTAGAAAAAAATTACAAAACTAAATTATTAATCAGATTAATATTTAAAAAATAATTTTAAAAAATCATAATAAAAAAAGCCTATGCAGAAAAATATTATAATAATCGATAATGTTTCATGGGGAAATTTACAGTTTTAATTCTCAACCAGTTCAATATTAAAAATAATAAAATCGATAAAGATAATTTTTTTAAAAAAAATATAACAAAAAAAATCATGTGCTAGAATACTATAGCACTCCATAATATTTTAAAAAATATAAAGTTAAATTTTCAGTAGGCTCAATATGAAGAAACAAAATCGACAAAGATAATTTAAAAAAAACAAAAAAATTATGTAAGGAAATATTGTAGCAATCTACAATATTTTTTTTTAATTACAAATTTAAAATTTCAACCACTTTATATTAAAAAAATAAAATCAATAAAAATAATTTTAAAAAAGCACAGAAAACTTAAAAAAATAAGACAATTTTAGGGGAAAAAAAGCAAAAAAAATACAGGAAAAGTTAGAATTTAATTCTCAATCATCTCAATATTAAAAAAAAAATCAACAAAGATAACTATGAAAAAAATATATGGAAAAATAATATAGCAAAATAAAAATTATATAAAAAATATTGTAATAATCTATAGTATTTTAAATAGAAAGTTACGAAACAAAATCAACAAATACTATTTTAATAAAAAAAATTAAAAAAAAATCATGTAAAAAAATATTATAATAATTCATAATATTTTAATAAAAAGATATAGAACTAAATTAATCTTGATAAAAAAAACATGTAATATGAAAAAAGTTACAGTATTTTGTCTGAATCTTTTAAGTATTGGTTAATGAAAAAAAGGTAAATTATCCCATAAGGATAAGGTTTTAGTAGCGTAACGGCTCATAAAGCAATGCTACGTATTTAAAACTAAAAAAATTTTGTTTTTTTTAAAAAAAAGAATACACGTAAACCGCTC